GGTAGGGTCACTGTTCAAAGAACAGTTTTTGTGCATTCGATGCTACACAGGGGGAAGTATCATCGAGAGCCAAGAATGGTCTTCATTGCTATCTGCATGCAGAGCATCGTAGCACCCACTGAGCATCAGCGTTGTGAACATGTTTCTTTGTTGAGCCAAATCAAAAAACACTTGGCCGGCCGAGGCTCCTTGCAATCATGCCGTGGAGATGGCCAAGGCCGCTGTTGAGGACGCTGGGAATGATAGCCGTAATATCCCTGAAGCCTTGAAAGAGTTTGCCAACATTCGTGAAAATGATGCGGAGGATGCTTGTCACAAACTCTTTAAGAAGTACGGTTTGACAATTCCTGTTCGGATAGACACCATCGAAGCTGGAGATGAAGGGGAGCTCAAGAAGCTGCCGGTTGTCAAATTTTCCACGTGGGCTCAATATCTCTTGGATTATGACAAGCTTGAGCTTCTGGTTGGTGTGCCGGAACAGGAAGTGGAGCCAAGGCTGGAAGAGTTCTGGTGCCGCTTCAAGATGCTGCACCCGGAGCATCAGATTTACGTTTTAGCGGAAAACGGTACGCTGGAACTGAAGCGAACAGTTCCGGTTTTTGCACATGTGGACGAAGGCAGGACATATAAGAAAAGTGCATTGCTTATATTGTCAGTACACGGATGCCTTGGCAAGGGCACTCGCAGCTATGCCAAAAGGATTGTGCGCAAGCCTCACATCAAACGAGACCCCATGGGAATGAACTATGTCGGTTCAACTTGGAGCACGCATTTTACTATCGGCAGCCTTCATCGCAGCTTCATCAATGAGGATGCCTCCTGCCTCGACAGATTGATGTCTACTTTCGGGGAGGACATGAGCGATCTGGCTCTGCACGGAGTTACCAGTGCGAATGGGCGGAAGAGAATGTGGGTACAAATTATTGGAATCAAGGGAGACCTTCCCGCATTGGGGAAAATTGGGAATTTCGTGCGCAACTACAGCAGGGTGCCAAAGAAAGCTGTATCCAAGGCGGCTTGCCCTGGCATCTGTTGGCTTTGCAAAGCTGGCCAAGAGCATCCTCAGCACATTCCTTTTGAAGATTTCAGGCCTGGTGCAGCATGGGAGCAGACAGCTTTCGAGGAGCGGCCGTGGGACACAGAGCCGGCGGTTTTGGCTAGCATTCCTTGCGTGCCGGATCAGCCGGAGGCCTTTTTTATCACAGACTTTTGGCATAATTTCCACAATGGACTCGCGAAATTCTGGGTCGCAAATGCCCTTGTAATCTGGGTGTTTACCCCAGGTATGGTGCCAGCCAGATCGATCGAGAAGAAGTTGCAATGGCTTTCGTCTGACTTTCAAAGCTTTTGCAAGCGAGCGAACATCACGCCGTTCTTGAAGGAGTTTACAAGGGACAACCTGACTTTGGAATCCTTTGATTCCTATCCACAAGGCTTGTGGAGCAAGGCTGTGGTGTCCACCCACACAATGTTGTATGTGCAAGATTTTTGCGAGCGGTTCGTTGGTGTGGCAAATCCTGATATCATCTTGAATGGCATCGAGTCTCAAACTGCACCTTTCAACTTTTACGGAGTTTCAATTTGCAATAATCTGGTATTATTTAGCACGAGGAAGTACCGAAAACATCTTAGAAATATGAGTTGTTGACTGTCCATGTTCCCACGAAACAAACTAAGGGCAAGGGCACACGCTTGATGAATACGTTTGTGTCCGTGCTCTATGGAGAGGGCTTTTGGGTGCCCAAGATGCGCGGGGAGCGACTGGGCCGCATGCTGCAGTCGTTTATGATGACTTACCAGCTATTGGCAGGCGAGGCTATCAAACGCAGCTGGAACCGCTTTCCAATGGTTCCCAAAGCTCACATGCTGGCCCACTGTGCAGTTCAGATGATCCAAGAAGCTCAGCGGGGGGAGTGGGTAATCAACCCACTCTCCACCGCGAACCAACAACAGGAGGATTACATAGGACGGCCTTCGAGGCTGTCCAGACGTGTGCATATGCGTCGGCTGCATATGCGTGTCATGCAAAGGAGTCTCCTTGCTAGCTACCAGGCGCAGTGTGAAGATGCGTAAAGCGCTGGGGGGGCATCATGAGCACTGTACTCCGTTCGTAAACCTATGTATGTATGTATCCCACTCTTCAACCCTTCAAACCCTCCAAGAAAATACTTGGTTGTTAGGTTGCTAAGGTAACATGAACCCTGAATATATTACAATAAATCACAGCCCTGCATTCATCCTCGGTTCGGCCAGTTTCGAGGAGCCATCACAGGCATGTCGTAACCTTCATCCGTAGATAGGCCTGTACTACTACTGTGTCGTACATATATATGGTATATATGTATATATACACACGTATATATAATACACATGTATACTGCATATGCCTATATGAAAATATTTGCATATGCACACCTGCATGGGACATGCACATCACATGCTAGATGTACGTGCAAACCTACCGCGACTTTGATGTGCTTGTGTAACTATGGTTCTTAGGCTTCGCAACTTATATACACATAATACATATATAATATGTGTGCATATATATATATATATCTACATATATATCTACATCTTTATGTTACTATGCACATTGACATACTATGTGTGTCTGTCTGTGTCTTCATTAGAAGCATGCGCAGTTATGATGGTTCATACGTAGAAACCTGAGTATGCCTGAGCAACAACATGTCTGCAGCTCATGTTTTATCAGTATTTGTGCATGTGTCTGTTTTTCTTGGTTCTATATGCGAGCATGAACCTAAGATAAAATTATCCTGTGGTCACCCGGCACAGATACAATATATATATATATATATATGTATAGTAATAATAATAATAGTATCCGGAATATGAATATCTTGCTACATGAATGCTTCTATATCATGTCAGTCGGCCACCACGTCCGCTTGCACAGGCGTCCGCATCATGGTCTGTATGGCAATTGACAGCTACAGGTCTCCACAACGTGTGACGGTATCATCGCACACTTTACATATGCGCATGATGCGGTCACTAATCCACCCATGTGTACATGGATATATACGTATATATGTGTACATACATACATACATGCATATATATACACACACACGCATGTCTACACCTTTGGCTGTACGCATTCTTGACTTTCCTGTGTTGTATGACAAGCTTGGGTAGACAAACAACATTGCCTGCATGTGTCTACATACCTAAATAACCATAATATGTATGCATATGCACGCATATAATCATACAGCTGTACAACATCTCTAAGGGTGTTTCCCAGGCTATGTTTGCACATGTGTTTGTCAGATCCAAAGAATGCTTATACATTCGACTTGCATTGTGTACCCCTACAAACACCTAAAAGGGTCTTACTTCCCCCCCCCCCCCCCCTGACCGTGCCAACTCTCGAACTACAGTATTCAAAGAGGTTCGCATGCTGATATGTACGTCTATGTGCGCCTATGCACACATGTGTTCAGCTTATACACATTTAATGCCCTATATGCCCATTACAGATCTTGAGAGCCCAGCGCTTGGCATCAGCGTCTTGATGCGATCGATGTCGACGAAGACCGGAGGAGAGGGAAAAGAAGGAGAAGGCGGATAGAGTAATAACAATTAGTGATATTCGTTCCGGGACAGGCTTGGATTCAGAGTTCGTGTTGTTGTGTAGTGTTCTTTGTTTAAGTTTAGGGTGCTACAGCTCCTTTGATTGGGTTTCAGGCACCAGCTTCTTTCTGCAATGCAACTAACATCCCGGTATTCATTTAACAAACGTATGAACCGGCATTATATGAAATTCCTTGAAAACCCGAAATCCTAGATATTTGCGAATGACCCTCTTTTGAAAACTCGACCTGTGTTTGGTAACCGAATCCTGAGGGGACCTAAAAAGGCAGGACCGGGCGGGTCCAGGTAGGGTTTAGGACCCCCCCCCAAGGGCCCTAATAGAGGCCTTATAGTCCTTCATAGTGGGTATTTGGGGCTAGGGTCAAAGTCTGAGTTTATGGGGGGTTAGGACCTATAGGGTCTAGAGTGCGTAGGGAAACCTCGGCTGAGGGGTTCCAAGGTTGTATGTAGAATAATAGCCTTTTATGGGTTTCCCTAAACCCTAAATCCTCAACCACTACGATCCGGTATCGACTGAGGGACTGTGGCTTAGGGCTTGGGGTTTGCTGATTAGTCGGAGCCTTTTTTCATTTGAATGGGGTTTTGGGTTCCTTTATAGTATGGCGATATGTAGGAACTTCGAGGAATGGTATTGGTAATTATTTGAGCCTCTATGCTAGGTTCATTTAGATTCAGGGTTGCTTAGGGGCTATAGGGTTTCAACCTAGTTTCAGGGTTTAAGGTCTGATCTAGGGTGTAGCGCGCTTGTAGGGTGGAGCTTTCGTCCTTCGAGAGGTCAGCCTGTTGTGCTGCCTAGATGTTCCAGCAGTGGTGAATCCAAAGGTAAAAGGAGGGACCTTTAATAAGGGCCCCTAGGTATATACCCTTAATATAGCTACTATATACCCATTATATAGCCCATTATAGGGTAGGGGTCCCCATTAAGGGTCCCTGCTTTTCCCCTTTGAGTGAAGCGTTTCGGATGAAGTGCTTGGCATAATGCAAGCAGTCTCCGAAGCAGTTCTTCTTTAGGCTTGTCAACGAATCACTGCGGCTCGAAAGCTAAACCAACCTGGTAACCACGGCAAGGCACTACATTCGTCGAAACCCGGAAGCCCAGAACCCGGAGATTGGGGTCATCCACGAAACTCAAACCCTTAAACCACTGTAAACCCCGCCCTAACTATAGCCCGTTAACCTCGAATTCTCACCCCGACAAAGCCCTGAAGCAACCTAAGTGACACAGGTACAGCATCTCTCTTCCAATCCTGGAGTAGATCGAACTCTAACCCCTAGACCTCAAACGTCAGACCCCAAACCATGCTAAACCCCAAACATCACATCCTAAACCCCAAGCCCCAAACGCCTTCCTTGGGGTTTTCGGCCTGCAGCCGGGGCACATGTCGCACATTCGGTCCAGGCACTCCAGCTCCGTGCCGCACGCGGAGATCTGTGGGGCGCTGCACAGCTCAGGGTTTCAAGGTTCCCAGAGATTCGTTTCAGGGATCCTTCGGGGTTTTGGTTCTAACGTTCCGATAAGGGTTCCTTGATAATTACTGGGCTCCAAAATTTAAAAAGGTTCCTACCCATAGGCTCCATAGTAGTTCCTTGTAGGGATTACCTTATAGGATTCTAGAAATGAACCACAAAAAGGAACTACTATGGAGCCTCTAGGTAAACAAAGGTTGCACAAAGGGTTGCAGAAAGGTGGCTACGAGGGTCTTATCGAGGTTGAACCCCTCCCAGAACGCCTGATGCCCTACTTGTAACCTTTCAGAACCCTGGCCCTAAACCCAACAAGCTCAACCCAAGATCTTGAACCCTAAACCCTGAACCCGAAGCCTCAAACCCGAAAACAAAACCCAAAGCACGCCCTAAACCGTAAAACCCTGAACCCTATACACCCGGCCCTAAACATTTACTGTTCACAGCCGAAGCAGATCTCCCTCAACCCTCAGCCTTATAAGCCCAAAGCGACAAGATCCCGATTGCCCTACAAGCCCTGTGAGTCTTATAATCTATAAGCCCTATAAGATTAAAGGAACGCTACAGACCCTAAGCCCTGGACCCTAAATAACTTGACTGATGAAGTCTGTCAGACGCACCCAGCATCTGAAGACCATAATGTAGGTACTACCTTAACCCCAAAGAACCTACCTTGTTCAGCACATATGTAAGCAAATCATAGCACGGAACCCTGAGTTTGAGCTCCTTTCTAGACTTTGCTTGTTTGGAGCTAGGCTAGAGACTTTATCCACTTCTTGCAGTTCGCCTTTGAATTTCTTCACGCCCTCAAAGAGGGTGCCCTCAAAGAGGGTTTGAGGCCCCAAATACCGTATTCTGAATGCTTGTCGGGACCTCAAATCACAGCCTAATCCGAAACCAACCCTAAACCCTGTAGCCGACATCTGAACCCCAAGCGCGAAACCCTACAAACCCTATGAGTTACCTGTATCCCCAAACCCTACGGAACACTAGGTCATGAGCGCCAAATCATAGGGTCGAGCCCAAACTTAGTGGCTGAGTTCACAAGTCCCAAAAAGTGTACCCTTTCGGCTTTATAGTGGGTAATCTTATCCCAAAAAGTTCCAAAGTGTATCCACTCAGCTACTAAGCGAAACACCATAGGTTTTGGATCCCCAGGTACACCCAAACAGCCTCGTGAACGCCCTTCGGAAAGGTCATCTTCAGCTTGGCCAGCTGACTATGTACCTCGGGGTGTTCACGAATCTAACCCTGGGGCTCCAAGTATACAAATAGCACCTACTTTGGGCCCTTAAGTCTATACACAATGCCTGCTTTGGGCTATTTGGAGCCCCAGGGTAAGGTTTAGGGTTTAAGGTTTAACGAATTCAAGGGCTTCATGTTTTAAGCTCTTTAGTGCTTGACAAGGATTTTCTCAGCGTCCTGTGAACTTTATGAGTCCTACAACTGTTCTATGGAGGCTTTATACGGATTTAGTGTTTAAGGCTTACCTGCATCCCCAAGCCCTACAAAGTAGTGGGTTATGACTCAACAGAGGTTATGACCCCTTAATAAGGGGGTCCACCCCCGAATTCAGTAGGTTTGTGGATCCCCAGGCAAGGATTCAGAGGATGGGGTAAAGCGAACATCGCATGTTCTGACATTTGGGACAAAGTAAAATAAAAGACCCGAAACAAGGTACTCTACCCATCTCTACCCATAGGATCCATAGTAGTTCCTTTTTGGTGTTACCTTATAGGATTCTAAACATGAACCCCAAAAAGGAACTACTATGGAGCCTCTAGGTACTCTACTCTTTGTACATCCCCAAACTGTTTATGCATTGACTTTTGACTGCTCTTTGTTCGAGCTCTGGGTATTGCCAGGGATTACCAGTTGGTGGCTCAGGGTAATTATTGGCAGACGCGTTTGGGGTTGAGGGCTGAGACACACTCATGAGATGCGAACCACATCTGAACCCCACACCGCCAACATCCTGCACCAAAACTCTTAAACCCTAACATGTACTTACCAAGAGAACTAACCTCGCGGGGTGCTGGTCTCTTGCGAACACTCCTGGGCTTCCGACAGAGGCCAATTGGCCTGTCACATCCAACCTGGGTAGCTGAGGGCTTCGACGACGGGCTGAACATATGCGCTTTAATGAAGGCTTTAGAGAGAGAGAGAGAGAGAGAGAGAGAGAGGTTTCACACCTCTTCTGTGTTTTCGTGTTAAGTATAAGAGGTTATGGCTGAGGGTTTATAGGGCTATGGAGTTTAGGGGCTACAGGGGTTAGGTGGACCCAGAAACCATGCAGCCTATCACAAAAGCCCTTTCAACCTTTACCCGTATAAACCTTGAACCCGACGGCTCTGCAGAACCCCTACTTTACATCGAACCCCAAACCCTAAACCCACGTTTGACCGCTTAACCCACAACCGCGAAATCCTCTCTGTCTCTGAACCTCTGCCTAGCTATGACTCAGGTCTCAAATATTAAGGCCTTTGGGCCCAGGCAGACCAATGCAGATTAGAAGTATCATTCAATAGTAGTTGGTGTCCCGATTACTAAATCCCTGCACAGCTACATGATTTACAGGCCCTGTGCCTATTTAGAAGATACATTGGCCTTAAAGGGGTTCCTGCATGGGTAGCTCTGTTGTCTTCCGGGGCCCGACAAGTACCCTCTACGTAATATACCCCCCCAAATACGCATTATTAGGGACCATAGAGGCTCTATTAAAGGACCCTGGGGGGGTCCTGCTATAGACCCTATAAACACACCTTTTGCCCAGGGTCCCCGGCTCAATGGGAACTTTAGCCTCCGCTTTTGGCGTAGGCTTCGCAGGCAGTGGCAGCGGAGCCATGGCAGATATCGGCAGAGGGTTCCTGAGCTGGTTTTCTGAAACATTGATACGGATCTGAAGAGATTTTGATAATGCCTTTAATGGGCTCACTGTGGGCTTCCGAGCTTATAAGTGGGATTTACCGGGACGTTCGTGCAGGATTTGAGGCTTAGGTTTGGTGAAAACTGATGCTACTAGTCGTCGCATTATTATGACTATGACGACTGTTGGTGCTATTTGCGTTAGGTTCGCGGCAGCACGTCGTAAACTGCAGAAGCAGCTCACAAAATCATCTTCCCTCCCAAACGCAAATTCCGGAAACATACCTTGAAATTGTTCCATGCATGATGCTCAGGGCTCATATGAGGTGACCAAAACCGACCCGCTTGAATCGTAATCCATATATAAATCCAAAAGGGCTCAACAACGGCCTGCGATGCACCACCGGCGAACCAATGAAGCACTCAAACATATCTATCTTACTACTGAGTATCTATAGATCTATCTACCTATCTATCTGTTTATCTGTATATATATATGCACTTATTTTAGTTTTTTGGCTATAGATATTACGAAAATTAGCAGCAGATTTGCAGATACATTCATATGGGAGTTTCCGAAAATAGGCGACCCTAATATTATGGTACCCTAAATAGTAGGATCCTTATGATAAGGGCCCCCAGAATAAGGTACCCCTCTTTTCGGAAACTCTAAACCCTAAACCCTCTATAGAACCCTTATAGATCCCTTTAAAGGAACCCTGAAAGGATCCCCTTAAAGGTACCCCATATGTCCAAAACCCTCAAGATCCAGGGCTCAAGACCCTCAACCCTAAACCCCCAAACCTTTGAATTTGAGCCCTAAACCCTAAAGCCCTAAACCCCTAAAGCCCTAAACCCCTAAAACCCTAAACCCTAAACCCCTCCAGGGCTCAAGACCACTTCCCGGAGAGGCTTCCTCGGCGATCGCCTCTCCTCCTTTGGAGCCTCGACCTCGCTTCTTAGGGCTTTGGGGGTTTAGGGGCTTTGGGGGTTTAGGGGCTTTGGGGGTTAGGGGGTTTAGGGTTTAGGGGTTTAGGGTTTAGGGTTTAGGGGTTTAGGGTTTAGGGGTTTAGGGTTTAGGGGTTTAGGGGCTTAGGGGGTTTAGGGGGTTTAGGGGCTTAGGGTTTAGGGCTTTAGGGTTTTAGGGGCTTTGGGGGTTTAGGGGCTTAGGGGTTTAGGGGGCTTTAGGGGCTTAGGGATTAGGGGTTTAGGGTTTAGGGTTTGGGGGTAAGGGTTTAGGGTTTAGGGTTCCTAGGGCTTCAGGGTGTGGTGGTCTAGGTTCTATAGAGGTTTATGGTTCATGTAGGGCTTCAGGGTTAAGTGGTTAAGGGCTTCAGGGGTTTAGGGGGCTTTTACATGGGAATCCAAAACCCTATGGGTTTTAGAAGTTAAGTTAAACCCCGTAACTAAGGGGTCATGACCTCTATTTTGTAGGATTTTGGGGATACATGTAGGGTTCCTAGGGCTTCAGCGTTTAGTGGTTTAGGGCTTTAGGGGTTAAGGGATTAGGCTTTCGGGGTTTAAGGTTTAGAGCTTGAGGGTTTAGGGGTTTACTAGGTTGCCCAGTAGCCTAGGATTAAAAAGAGTGCACTTTTTATGAATGGTTTTACAAGGGAACCGAAAACCACAAAAATGGGAACAAGACTATTACTGGGCATCCTAGTTTATGGTTTAGGGATCAGGGTTTGGGGGTTTAGGGGTTTAGGGTTTCGATGCTTGGTCTCAACTTCCGAGCCAGAAATGGTTTTTCTGGAAGAGGGTGGGCGGGATATTTTGGCTTCGCCGTTGAGGCTGGGGTCTTACGATCTCGCGGAACATCTTTCTGAAGCCCAAAAATCATGTTGATCATACCAGTGTACAGCCTACTGCTGCTTCAGGATCATATCATCTGCACCAGGACCACTCTGTCTTGTGTTCACCGAAAACTCAACTCAGATGGGAGTTGCAGAAAAAAGAGGAACCCGAGTCAAATCCTCAGTCGTAAGTAGGATCCACAATAATAAGAAGACGCACACCCACCCACACAACAGAAAAAACACTACTAGTGTTCATCCCTAGAGGCCCTTGCATCAACCTATACAACCTTCATAAACTTCATAAAGCTTTGATAAAACAATCAGAAAACCATTAGAGAACCCCAACACAGCACCATTACACAGCGTATACAGCAACCCTCCATAGTCAGGAAGCCCTAAGCCCAAAAGCCTAAACCCTAAACCCCTAAACCGCCTAAACCCTAAACCTAAAGCCCCCTAAACCCTAATCCCGAAATCCCAAACCCTAACTCCCAAGCCTTGCACCCTAGCTGCGGCCTTGGGCAAGGGAGGGGCCATAGCTCTCTCAGCACAGGCCACCTGGCGAAGAGGACGGAGCCGGCAGCTGTCCCAAAGAAGGAAGACCTTCAACTAGAATAAGCCCCTATAAACTCCAAATTACAAGAACCTATGTAGAGGTCGGCTGGATAGTTTTACGGCTTGGGGTCCGGGTTGTAAACAGGCATACTCTTCCAAAAGACCTTAAACAAACTTTATACTTCAGTCGGTTTTACGTTACCGTCCTTTATAGGGTGGTCGAAGTCCTTCGGAAAAACTGATGCATATTGCAATCATAGAGAGGTCTCAACGAAGACTTCAGCTACACTGCATACAGTTAAGAGAGGTGCAGACATGTAGCTCTCTAGCCTTGAACCAGCCGTTCTCGTGGGAAACCTGCTGTCCCACAGCCTGCAAGCGCATCGAACAAATCTTAGCTGCTGAGTTCATAAGCCCCAAAAAGTGTACACTTTCAGTTTTAGAGTGGGTAGTATTATCCCAAAAAGTGTAAAGTGATCCACCCAGCTACTGAAAAATTGAGGAGGAAACTCGGACCTCGGCCCTCCAGCTCGCTATATAGCATCCCAGAGACTCCAATATCCCTTAATTAAGGAATATGCCTTTAATTATAGTAGGATCCTTAATATGATCTAAGGTATTTTCCCTAATTAAGGAATATAGGAGTCTCTGGCATAGAAGCCCTATAGATCCTACAGTATGGTACGCCCTGGCGTTCCAGTCTCAAAACACGAGCAAAACCCCACAAAACGCCATATCTAGTACTCTGAGAGAAAGCCTACAGAAACCTTTATAGATCCCTTTAAGGAGTCCGCAAAAGGACCCTCGTTTTAGAGAACTACCCATGTGCCTCCATCTCGAAGGAGGCGCGCTGCCTCTCTACCAAGTCCAGCTCGGACTCGCAAGCTTGCCTGGTAATATAGGCCTTAAGCATTTAGAATAGGGTTCCTTGAAGGGTTCCTTTTGAAAGGGGTCTATAAGGACTACTTAGACTACTTGCTGAAAGAGCATCATGGGTGTTTAGGATAGGCCCCCGGGGCCTCAATCATTCGAACAGGGTTTTGGGGTATACCATACTATGCTCATAATCAGGAACAGGAACCCCCAAAATGGTATCTCGCATGGTATTAGCAATTGTTTATCCCTTATAGTCGACTCCACTTACGGGTGTGGGGTCTAGGAGGGCTTTAGGGGGTTAGGGCTTATAGGAAGTTAAGGGTTTAGGGGTTTAGGAGGGGTTTGGGGTTCAGTTTGTGTTGGGGGATAATGATAAAGGGCTCTTTACGGCTTTGCTTAAAGCGGTTCAGGGTCTTGCTTTAGAGCTTTGCAACGGATGAGGGGCCCGCTAGCGTGTCATGGAAAATCACACAAGTTTGCTGATTTTTTTAGTAAGGGTTCGACTATGCGGAGATTACAGTTGCGGGGTGGGAGTACTGCAGGGCTTGCCAGCTCTGGGATTCAGGGGTTGGGCTTTGCAGGTCCAAACCGCCGGCATCAGACGAGGGGCCCCCGCCTTTCGGTCGGCGAAAACGTCGAGGATCTCCTTAGGCCACCTTTGATCCTTGGCCGGCTTCAGAACATCAAAGTGGCATCCATTGTGCAGCAGCACAATATTGTGCTTCTGCTGCTGCCGATGTACCACCGACACATGTACCACCGACACATTGAAGTGGAACTGTCGGGGAAACACGACAATGCGCACATCGTACAACCGAGCTAAGGCCCGGATTTCCAAAGCAGATCCCCTCTGGCCCTCAGTACCAATGGCCTCCACGTACTCATTGAAGTCAGTGGAAGCTGTGGCATTGGGGAGCTCACCATGCCACTGCTCTTCATAGGTTTGCAGGTACTTTTTGTAATGCTGCACGACACGGGCTCTCATCAAGGAGGGATGGATCGGCTCCTTGCCGATGGTATGTGCAAGGCCAGCTGACACGGCTCCAAACAGGCAGTTCCCATCCTGAGGGATGGGCTCGGCGACAAGAGTCTCCGGGATCGCGGACAGAAACCAACCAACGACAAAGTAATCCTCAACCCTCAACAGCAGAATCCTTAAAAAAGGACCCACAATTTGAGGTACTCCGTAAACCAACAAAAAGATCCTAAAACATCCAATACGTAAACCCCACCAGCACCCCGTGTTGATAGCCAGTCGAATGCTTTACAGAACCCTAACTTAATTAGCCCTTCACAAAGTCTTGAAACCCCTAATATAAGGGCCTAAATACTAACCAATACTATTTAGGGGGTTCCTTATTATTTCTACCTTAACCTACCAAACTCTACTTTTCTGTAGGTTCTTATTATAAACCTTCTAAACCCTAAACCGTGGCCCCAAACCCTCTCTCCGACCTTCCTTCAAGCCGAGGCACAGCTCGGCTTCCAGCTGGGCTCGGAGACCCACCTGATCGGCGGGAGCAGGGCAGGGGCTTTCGGGCTTCGGGAGTTACCGGTAACCTAGGAATAAAAAGGGCTCCCCTTTTGATATTGGGTAACTTTATAAGGAACATAGGACTACAAAAAGGGAATACTGTAGAGGGCTTTCGGGCTTCGGGAGTTAGGGTTTAGGGTTTTGGGATTGGGTTTAGGCATTAGGGTTGTAGGATTTTGGGTTTAGGCATTAGGTTTTTAGGGTTTCGGGTTAGGGCCACCTGATCGGTTAGGGTCCACCTGATCTTTGTGCTTTTCGTTTGGTGTTAGTTCACTATTGTACATTGGAAAGGTGTTACTCGGAATAGGTTGTTGAGTATATCATACTCTACTGATACCAAGCCACCCGAAACTGAACAAAGGCCGAATGACGAATGCCACCGTGCAAAATCCAGAGCTCTGAACATAAAAGCTGAACTATGTAGCTGTACGTATACAAAAGAGTATCCGACACAGCCACATAATATACATCTATCTATATATATATATATATACGTATACAAAGATACATACCTATGTACATACACACATACATACATATAAAGGGAGCTAGACATTGCTGAGCCTAGAACCCTACAACATGCTAGGGCGAGACCCCGCAAGACAGGGCATTCCAACCAAAGTCGTAGGTAATTGAATCGACACGACACGTGTACCTTACCCCTAAGCATAACATAAGCAGCTCAACATGCGGATCTCTTCTCCGGTGTCCAGAGTTCCTTAGATAAAGGGCCTAACCCAGAGTGTACTCCACGATGTTTAAAGGAGCCAAGCCCTAAACCAACCCCGAACCCAATAGGCCCTGAATCGTAAACCACCAGAAAAGCAGAAGTCCTTGAACCCTCGCATCGGAGTGGATGACTGGATCGGGTTTGTAGACCAAGCGGAGCCCAAATCTTCTTTTGTGGTGATAAATACAGCGCCTTAAAGAGAAGCACATACTACGCATCATCTGATCGGGACTAATTATAAGGGATTACCATGGATTACTGTTACTAGCATTCCAGAACCCTTAACGACACAGCGCTTGGCGATGTTAAAAGGAGTAAACTCTGAACCCTAAAGCACCCCAGCCTCCTCCAAAACTCGTGTCATCCACAGCAGCAGCCGGCCGCATGGCTCGCTGGCACGAGCCACTGTTGGCAGATCCAATGGCCTGGTATTCAAAAACTCCTACGGCTGATGGTAAAAACCTGCATTACCCATAATAAGGAATATACCGTACTTCCCATGTGTAGGGGCATTAAGGTAATATATAACTATCTATGCATAGGCTCCATAGTAATTCCTTTTTGGAATTACCTTATATATAGGATTCCACATATGAACCACAAAAAGGAACTACTATGGAGCCTCTAGGTATCTATCTAAGAATCGATCCATTCGTCTTTATATCGGTCTGTCTACCTATCGGTCTATCTATCTATCTATCTATCTATCCATCTGTCTACCTACGTATCTGCGGGGCCTACCTAGCTCTATACCTGTCTATCTACCTGCTTACCTATCTACGTAACTACCTATCCATCCACCTATCTATCTGGCCACCTACCTGACCTATCTATCAGTCTATCTGTCTGTCCTACCTAATCGAATCTAATCTAACCTAATCTGCTTTTGGGGGGACCTTAGTAACCTATTTGGAATAGGTAGGGTTTTGGGGTGTGTGTGTATACATATAGTTATGTCAGAATTTGTTTATTTGTATATCATTAAATTTGTAGTCACACTTGGAACAGTACGTAACAAATCGGCAATGTGGTTTCGATATTAGGCCCCTTGGGGAAGCCTGACAACACCGAACACAGTTTGATTCAACGATGACAAGGCAAACTACAGAAAACTGGGCAACGAGGAGAGGTTAACTGCTTGTTACCCCAAGGGTCCAAGTACCTAATAATCATATACTCTCCAAAATCCTAACCTACATAGCTACTATCCTAAAACCGATTACCTTATTATTGGGTCCTTTGGACCCTTACGGCTAAGGTTCTGAAAAATGTGTATATATAGGGTCCCTTATAAGGAAATAAAAAATGTCCCAAAATCCAACCTAGGCTTGTTAGGGCCTGTCCATCGAAGGTGGGTTACAATTCTTGACTTCCGGACTTCGCCCTGGGAAAACTGGCTCCCCGGATTCTATAATCAAAGGGGGAAAGGAGGGACCCTTAATGGGGACCCCTACCCTATAATGGGCTATAAAATGGGAATATAATAGCTATATTAAGGGCATAGGCCCCATTATCCTACTTGTCCGGTATCATGGGGAACTAAAAGTTGACCTTTGTGGTTATCATGGGGATTATGTAGGGACTATACTACCCGAAAAAGGGTTAAACGTGCCTGCTCTACTACTAGCTTATAGAACCCCTAGAGTACCCTTCAATAGTGTTCCTATACAGGTTAGAACTAGAATCCACATTAAAGGGTAAACCTTGGGGGCTTAGGGTTCCGTTAAAAGGGACACCTCGGGATTTCTACTGCTCCTTGAAGGGTTCCTATACAGGTGGATGCTAGCTGCACGGTTTAGGGTTTAGGGTTTATAGGGCACCCCCAAGCAGGGTTTACGAACCCATGGTTTGTGGCTTTGCGGCCCAGCGGCGGCAAAGGCACGCCCTTAGACGCCATCATCTCCCTGATCCTTACTTGGTCAAATGCTTGAGGGTTCACGGCTTGTGGGGGTTGTGGCTCAGAGTCAAAACACCTACGGTTGATGATATAAACCCTGCACCACACATAATAAGGAATATACCATAATTGCCATAGTTTAGGGTCCTTAAGGTAATGCAGGATTTATATCATCAACAGTAGTGCAACGAAGGCCACGAATCGAGCGTCGGGTTTAGGCTGGGGCCTGAAAAGCAAGAATTTACATTTACGCCGAAAGAACACCATGATGAGGCCGCATGGTGAGCCATGCGACAATGAATCGCATGCACCCCGGATTGACCATATACATATACATATGCCTGTGTATATACCAATACGCATATAATATGTACATGTACATTCATACACAAGTATATATGTATATATATATATGTATATATATATATATAAGCACTCAAGCATGAGAACGTAGACCACCCTGAACTGTCCAGTACGCTGAACCCTACATACCCAAAACCCTGAACACCCCCGAACTTCCTTTACCACTGAACCCCAATCCTTATATCTCCCGACCACCCGAGGGTCTGCAACTCTTTGGTGAGAGTGCGCCGCAGGGTCGCCCTCGAAGCCATCCTGCCTCCAAACGCGGCACCTGGTCTGGTTGCGATTTGGAAGTTTCCGAAATTAAGGGGGTACGTTTTCTGGGGTCCTTATAATAAGGATCCTACTATTTAGGGTGCTGTATTAGGGTTCCTTATGTTCGAAAACCCCTTTGCTGAGTCTTTAATACCTTCAACCAGATTAACCTGTACGAGGCGGTATCCAACACTGTGGTACCACTCTGGGGTTCGTACCTGGAAGTAAGAGGATTATTCCGTGGCTCCTGCTGCGGTGTGGTGCACATGTTCTAGTAGAATTGGGTTGAAACATCAATGCTTTGGCGCTCGAATGTATGAACCGCACTCCCGCCACTGTCGCGTTCGTCTTTTGGCGCGTTTCTGGGTGGTCTAAACCCTAAACCCCCAGTGCTTGGAGAATCGTTTTTCATAGGGCCTAGGATCCGGGTGTAGGGTTTAGGGGTGTAGTGTTCCGAACTTAGGGTTCGGCCGTTCTGCAATTCATGGCTTGTGGAGTTTTCCCAAATTGCAACTCGTCGTCTAAAACACGTGTTGCCACTAGAGTCCCGTGGCTTACTGGCTCTCAAATTCGAAGCGGTGCTTCCACTACCCCGCCGTGGGTGCTTTCGGGCGCTTATCGTTATTTCAGCCCTGAACCCTAACCCTAAACCCTGGTTCAGGGTTTCAGGTCGTATAGGGTGGCTTCTGAAGGTTAGTGGCTGCGGACCACTGCAGAGTGTGCAAAGTCAGTCTCGTTCAACTGGACAGGTTTAGGGTTTATAAGGGGTTTTGGGGTTTAGGGTTGGATGGTCAGCACTGGACAAATGTCATCCACTGCGATGTCATCATCAAACTACCCTGCAACGAGGTTTGCTGTCTTCCATATCACGTATCACAACGCAGGTGTGCTCAGTGATGTCGTAGATCCGCCAAACCCTAAACCCTAAACCCCAAAGCTCCAACCGGACAGTCCTGATGTCCTAAAGTAAATTCCAGAAAGTTGGAATATGATTATCCTGAACCCTTTATGGTAAATGATAGGGTATCCTACCCTGAAACCATATTCCAACTTTCTGGAGTTCCCTTTACAGTCACAGCTAGATCATACTCTAGTTACTAGACTCTAGCTCCCCATGGCCTCTAACGGAAGCAAGGAGTCTTTCTGCAGGATTTCAGGCAAGGAAACCAAAGACCCTAAGTCTAGGAAGCCCTGGCACTAAAACCCCAAAGCCCAAACCCTACAAGCCCTAAATCCTATCCCTGGGGATCAAAATAACCCGTCCTTATATAGTATGGTCTTTGGGCCCAAAAGCCTTAATATATGAGTCCTTAGATCGCTAGGGTATAAAGTCCCAGTCCAAGGATCCATCGCTGGTTTCTGGCTCCTGTGAGGTAGCATCCGGCCGGGTGCAGGAGGAGTCAGACGAATCCGACGGCCGGCGATCTGCAGAGATGCCCAAGTAGGTGCCAGCAACGTGAGACATTACCTCTGTGGCTTCAGATTCCGGGTTTTTGGCTTCAGATTCCGGGTTTGGGGGTTCTGATTCCGGGTTTGGGGAATCAGATTCCGGGTTTGGGGAATCAGATTCCGGGTTTGGGGGATCAAATTCTGCATTCAAGGTTTAGGGTTCTGGGGGTTTGGGACTGAAAGAACATGATTTGTAGGAGTGATTCAGTGACCGTCTTTCTGTGCTGCACACGCGACGGCATGGTCATCTACGACCACGGCTGACATGGGGGTTTCCGAAAATAGGGGGCCCTAGTATAGTACCCTTACTAGTAGGATCCTTATTATAAGGACCCCAAAATAAGGTACCCCTATTTTTCGGAAACTCCCACATCATCATGATCTAGTCGGCAAGCTATGCCTGCGGCACAGTATCTGATTATGACGACGATGAAGATAATGTTCATGATGCTGGCCATGACTATATGCTGAGAAGAACGCCAATCCCGCGACCATCAGGACGATGATTCCGACATTCTTGTCGATGATGCTGCTTAGTTACAAACTTCCAGTCCATACCATTGTTGCGATGAGCCGAAACCAAAACGCAGTCAGCAGTTCTCCGGTAAGCCAAGCCACATGAGGCACCGAGGTGAGGATTGCAGTGTCGTAGTTCAGGATACGACCGATAAATGCGTCGTCTGCCAACATCCGCTGACATTTGCTCCAGTCTTTTCGATCGTCGAAGAAGCTTGCTGGAGACTTCCCCTGAAATCTTGAGGCATTCAGAAACCTTGGACACGGGCTCGGGCATCTATAGGGGACGGAATAATCAGAACAGGGGTTTAGTGTGTATACCATAGTTATTACGGCTATAAGGAAGGGCACGAAAAGGGTATAACATTATCACTTCTTCCGACCCGTATAGTTGGATCAACACGGGTTCAGGGCGTGGGCAAGTGCTGTGGACTTGGGCAATTTCGGCTGCAACTAGCTACGGTACTCTGCACTACCGGGAGTAGTATGTTTACCTTGGGTACTGCACCCCTGCATGAACTACTAGTAAGAGTCTGCAAGGGCTCCTATTAACGCCCCTATTTGTATACACATACATATATGTATCTATGCGTAAAAGTTTACATATTATGGTGCTTACACAAGAGTGTAGTGGGCTGTGACGCCTGATCACAGGGTACACGTGAAGATCCAATAACCGGCTGTTATCAGGGCACCCTGTAATTGCGGGTCATAGCCTACGACTTTGTCGGGCTTAACGCTTGAAGGTCTTAAGGCGGCATCGCATCGAGTGGAAATACTTGCCATGCCAGAACATTTAATGATAAGAGTTACTAGTAGTAACGATAACAGTAATAGTAACAGTACTATGGAGGCGACAACAATGCAAACAACCATGGGAAGACTGGTAAGTATACTACTGAAACTAAAATAGGGTTTCGGTTTCAGGGATATCTGAGAGTATACATATCATCAGGAACTCAAGCGAATCGTGAAGAAACTTCCGGGCTTCATGTGGATGTTCTTCTGAACCATCGTAGTTTGCTCAAGGACCTGTTGTTGTTGAGATATCCCGAACTCTGAACCTCACAACCCTTCAGAACCCCCCGAAAACAACCCTTATAAAGCCTTAAAGGAACCCAGAACGCCCCTCGGAGCGTGTACGACTTCGTGAAGTTTTGCGTACTTCCGGTCCATGCCGCGAGATCGGCCAGCCGCTTCGATGGGCGTGGACATGAAGGCAATCTCCTGCTTGGCGAGCTTGTGAGGCGCTTGCCCGCCGCGAGGCACGTTGTCCTAGGGGTGATGACCCAGGTTGTTGCCTCATCTCCAACAATGTGCACCAGCTTGAATGCACGCGCGCCCACGAGCACGACCCCGATGTAGTTGCCGTCTGGTGGCAAGCGAGCAGCGAAGTCCGTGATGTCCTTGACTTTTCCGGTGCTGACCCCAACGCGGGCCCCTCGGCATGAGTAGTACCCGCGGCTGCAGGCGTTTCTGAGCGTGTAGCCGTCCCTCGCATTATACTATAAAAGCAATAAGGGACCACCAAAATAGTATAGGTAATTATTCAAGCCCCTATAGTATACCATAGTAAACCCTAATTCCTCAATCCTGAGACAGAGTCGACGCCAGGGGACAACCAGACCGCCGCCAGCGTCCTCTTCACGCTGTCCGGAGGGCTCCGACCTAACTTAGGGGGACCGAAGTAGCTACGGTAGAATGTGATGTTGGGGTTGATCAGAACATTATAGTATTATACTTTCATATGATAGTATAGTGATGAGCAGGAATTATTGTCTTATGTTATAGCTTAGTGATAAACAGGAACACGTCTAGTATTGCTAATTATACATATTCAGGCTTCTTTTCTTAAGTTTCAATCGCTATGCTCCGTGCTCTTCTTGAAAAATGCTTAACATGCAAATCTGTGGGTCCAAAGCAGTCGAAATCCTACATACGCATACCGAATACATGCATGCATGCATACAAACAGTGCAGCCCTGCATGGTTGCATGCACACATACAGACATACAGATACAAATGTATGCACCCACGTGCACACATGCCAACAAACTTACGTACGAACATGCAACCAACCATTTAAGCAAATAAGCAACAAAAAAACACAAACACACACACACACACACGGACACGGACAACCAACCAAGCAGCCAACCAATCAACCAACAAATCACCCACAAAATCAGCCAGCCAGCCAACCAGCTAGCCAACCAACCAACCGACCCAACAACCCACAGACCAACCCAACCCAGCCAAGCCCAACCTAACACTCATACATTCTTGCGTACGCATACCTGCATACCTACATTCCTGCATGCGTACATACCTGCATACCTACATACATACCTATACATACGTACATACATACCTACCTATACATACATACCTACACATACATACATAACTACATACATACATACATACCTACCTATACATACATACCTACAAACCTACACACGCCCGTGCATGCACTCATGGACACGGATATGCTGCTCCATGCGTACCGCTGTCGTCAAGTCTTATTGAGCCCTCAAGCGCTATTCGTCCTTCCTAAACTGAAAGTGCTCCTTCGAGGCCTGTCGTGTCATTCAGAGGCCCGAAAAGCACAGCCCTAAACCCCAAACCTTGCAGACCTCCCCAGGCCCGTCTATGGTTCGGGTTAAGGGGTAGGGTTTGTTTAGGATTCAGCAGCGCATCGGGGTTTAGGGTTTAGGGTTGTGTCTTCAATCGTCGTCCCTTGCCTCCTGTGAAACGTGAAAATCTCCCCGACCCCACATAAGCCATTCTCGAGCTCCCCGGTTCGGGGCTTTGGGTTCAGGGGGGTAGTACCTGTAGCTGCAGTTTCTCCAAGTGAACAAGTAGATACAATGTGCCAGTACACGCCTCGGCCCCTACAAAGTCAGACTAATGTAGACCGCGATCAGATAGCATACTTTCTTTAACGGCCCTAATCTTCGGATCCCTAGACATTAGCCTCTTTACCCTAAACACTTAACCACTAAACACTAAACCCCTTTTAAACCCTAAACCCTATTAAGGAATTAAGTCTGACTAATGGTCAGGTCAGGCTGCAGAGCTGGCGGATCTCTGAGAGCTGCCTCCGCGATAGGCTGCCCAACTGCTCTGCCGCCTTTGAATTTGTCTTTAGGGGTTTAGGTTTAGGGTTTAAGGTTTAGGGTTTAGGGGTTTAAGGTTTGGGGTTTAAGGTTTAAGGGTTTAGGGCTTCGGGTTGCGGTGAGGTACTGAGGGTCATAGGAGTTGGGTTTAGGATCATTCGGCGTGTGGTTATAGGATTTGGGCTTGTGCGGCGTAGGGTTGAGGGTTACGGGATTGTAGGATTTCGGGTGCAAGCTTGACAGGTGATAAGATGTTGACTCTGTGGGTAGTCACGAGAATGGTTTCCAACAGGTCTTGTAAGGTTTAGTAGGGGCTTGTGGGTGGGATTGGACGAGGTTGGTATGAGTGTCGTTATAGGTACCTGGATGCGCGAAATACCCTAAACCCTATAAGCAAGCAGGCCAGTACCGCCCAACTAGCCTCTTCATGCCCTATATACCCACTATAAAGGGCCACAGGGCCCATGCCCTATATACCCACTATAAAGGGCCATAAGGCCTCCATTAAAGGGCCCTTCGGGTGTCCTGAGTCATGTCGGGCTCTCGTTGTTTAGGAGTTGGTGCTTCGAAGCTCGAGGACGGGCTGACGAGCTGCACTATTATGGACGACTTTTGATTCCTACTGACTCTTCTTTTAGGGCTCCTTATTGTATATGGCTTCTTGATATACGTCCTTAAGGCTATTTGGGGTTAAGGCGTAGGTTTAAAGTTTCGGGATCTGGTAGACCCTGAACCCTGCCGCCACTGCAAAGTTGCGTCCAGAAGGAGGCTCTGAGAATTGAAGCGCTGGCTACCTAGAGGCTCATACCCTACCCCTTTTTTAGGGAACCTAGTTTGTAAGATAGCAGATCCCAACCATAAAACTAGGTATCCAAAAAAAGGGGTCGGGTATGAGCCTCCAGGTAGAGTTCAGGCTTTATATGGGCGTTTCCGAAATTAGGGGTACCTTGTTTCGGGGTCCTCATAATAAGGATCCTACTATGAAGGGTTCTATATTGGGGTCCCCTATTTTCGGAAACTCCCATATTGCTGGCCCCTAACCCTAAACCTAGTCTGCAAGAGGGTTCGAGGCTTCTTCAATGTGCAGTCTGCCAAACCTCAAAATTCTAGAATCCCCGTAATCCATCTTTGCAAGGAAGTAAACGGAACTCATAAGAAGGAGCCCCAGTAAGACAGGTTGTACAGGTTTCAAGTATGGTCTACCTAGACCCTTACATGTAGTGCCATTTATTGGATGGTCAGGATCCCAAAACAAGAAACCATGGCAACCAAAAAAGGGTAATTACTACATTTAAGGGTGCAGGTAGGGTCTAGGCTGCACAACCCCCAAGGCCTCAGTGCGCCGTTTTGCCTCGGCTTTCGCATCTCAGAAGCTATATCCCCTTTAAGTTCAGGGTTTGGGGTTGAGGGTCACTATACCCCCTCAGAACCAGATTAAAAATAACATTGTGAATATTTACTTTGGTTTTGAATGAACCAAAACAAAACTAATTCCTAAAGAGACCATAGTAAAGCTATTGAGACCCCTGAAACTACAAGCAACCTTGCTTCTAGGACCCCCCCTTAAAAGGGCCCTGTAAAGGGATCTATGAGGGTTCCTTTAGGGTTTAAGGTTTAGGGGGTTTAGGGTCTAGGGTTTAAGGAAAATACCAGGACCCCCCTTACAAGGGCCCTTTTACAGAGGCCTTATCGTCCTTAATAGTAGGTATTTGGCGTGACATAGCGGGCAGTTGTCACGATAAGGACCTCAAAGAAGGTTGTGTTTCCAGGGGGTTCAGGTGTAGGATATCAGGTGTAATCCCTCATCAAGGACGGCATTATGATTCAGGGTATACCTATAGGGTCATACCCTACCCCTTTCTTGAGGTACCTACTTTCTACATAAGAGAACCCCATCAAACTAGGTATCCTAAAAAGGAGTAGGGTATGACCCTCCAGGTACTCTTCAATTGGGAGTATTGGGCTCGCTGCGAGAAGCCGCCGAGACCTTACCTCCTCGAAACTTTCTGACGGATCGCATAATACGATGTTGAACGTGTGGGTGGTTGTCAAAATTATGGTCCCTTCTTGGTTACCTTGAATATTACGTGCCGTATCATCATGAAGGACCCCAAAAGGGACCCCAACATTGACAACCCTTCCATGTGACTGTGGGTTGGCTGCGAACACGCAGATACGCCAACCTAACACCCAGCATGATCTGTTTAGGGTGTAGGGCCCAGCACAACATCCTTCTTCTTTGGTGAGGAATACTAAATTAATCGGGATCCGGGTTTCCGCGGCTTTAAAGTCAGTGGGCTCCTGAATTTAAGCCTGGACATGAACCACAGTAGGCAAAAACACGAGGCCTGTACTTCCACATCTGAGAAAAAAGCAACTGTGAAGACCCCTACACTCAGCAAAGCAATAGGTCTGAAAAAGCCCTAAACCCTAAACCCTAAACCCTAAACCCTAAACCCTAAACCCTAAACCCTAAACCCTGAGGCGGAACACAACACCAAACCCCGCGCACCCTAGATCCGAATCCCCGGCACCTTCGCCCCAAGGCCCTCAATGCTATGAACTCTAACCCTAAGGCCCATACTAGCCCAAAAGCCCTATATAGTAGAGCCTTTGGGCCCGAAAGCCTTATAATGCGAGCCCTCAGAGCGTAAGGCTTACGCAAAGTCTCAATCCTTTGAGGTCGAACCCAAAAGCCCTCTGTCAACAAATGAGTGGTTGTCAAAATTAGGGTCTCTGTTTGAGTCCCTATTATAGTACGGCACCTATGATTTAGGGTACCCAAAAAGGGGCCAAAATCTTGGCAACCACCCAAATAGCCCATGCGACTTTAGGGATTAGGGTTTATGGTTTTTTTAGGGTCCCTTTCAAGGGATCTACAGGGTTTCCGTTAAGGGCTCCTTTAAAGGGGTTTAGATCTATAGGGTTTCCTTTAAGGGTTCCTTAAAGGGTTAGTTCAGGGTTTACTGTAGGGTTTAACGGTTTAGGGTTTAGGGGTTTAGGGTTCAGGGTTTAGGGTTTAGTACAACCTATAACCCTGAAGCCCGAAAACCCTAAAAAACCTGAACACCAGCTAATCACAAAGCGCCCTTAAACCTGAGAGCCAGAAAACTGAGAAAACCCAAAGTGCCAGAACACCACCCCCCCCCCCCAAAAAAAAAAAAAAAAACTACAACACAACCTAAAAACATCCTAAAACCCTAAGCTGCCAGGAACCGAAAGACCTGCTCGAAACCCCAAACCCTTTCAAGGAGCCCTTAGAGGAAACCCTATAGCTCCCTTTAGGGGAAACCTGAATACCCCATACACCCTAAACCCCAAACCCCTTAAAAGGAGCCCTTAAAGGAAACCCTGTAGATCCCGTTTTGGAACCCTAAAAAACCCATAAACCCTAATCCCTAAATCCCAAACCCTGATCCCCAAAACCCTAAACCCTAATCCCCAAACCCCAATCCCCAGACCCTAAGCCCAAACGCCTGATCCCAAAACCGCTCCAACGAGCTTTGCAGCTCCGGCACCAGCGTTGCGAGCTCCGAACGCTTCGCCGAGGCAACCTTCGAGGGAGGGGTTTACCTCAAGGAAGAAATGAACCTAGGGTTCCTTAAAGGGATCTATAGGGTTCCTTCAAGAGATCTATAGGGTTTAGGGGACTCCAATACCCCTTAATTAAGGAATATACCTTACTTAAATCATAATATTAAGGCCTCTATCATGTAGCTAGGATACCCAGTAACCTAAGAATAAAAAGGCCTCTCTTTTTGGTATTGGGTAACCTTATAAGGAACCTAGGACTACAAAAAGGAATAAGGGTACTACTGGGCATCCTAGTTTAGGGTATATTCTTCAATTAGGGTGTCGGGAACTCTGGGCTCGTTAGGGCTTAGGGTCCTTAAGGACGAGGACGAAATGAACCCTAAAAACGTTTAGGGCTCATATACCATTATAGGGGTTTCATAATATATGGGTATAGGGCCCCTACTTTTAAGGGTCATTAAGGTCCTTCAGGTAGGGTTTAGGGTTTAGGGCTGGGCATAAGGGAACGGATTTTTACCATTGCCCTTAGGCTACAAGGACTCACAGTCTAAGGCTTTTGGGCCTAAAGACCATGCTTTATGAGGCTTTTGGGTCATATTGAGCCCTAGGGTTAGGGTTTGATCCAGGAACAGAATTGAGGTTCTGTTTTCGGGTTCCTGTGAAGTTTCTTTTTTGAGGGCCCTAAAAGTGTTACTACGAGGGTCACTACAAGGGCTCTCTAGTGTGGTGGCGAACAAGATGTTGAGGTATACGCTGCTGGACTGGTAACAATTATGGAGGAGAGCTGTTGCGGAATACTATTCATCAGCCAACGCCTACCATTGATCATGCTCCGCGTAGTATTAATCAGTATGATTATCACTACGATTACAAACATGCTTATGATTATGATTGTGGTTGCGATTGTGAATACGACATGATGACGGTATGATTGCGGTTGCTATGGTGATACGCCCATGATCATCACTATAACTTTTTGAGTAGTACAACAATGTTGCGAGTATGACTGATATGCTTGTAATGATGATGCTGATGATGATGATGACCATCACGATTTTGAGTGTCTTGCATCCCATCTATGATCCCGGTTCGGCCGGCCCCCCCCTCCCCCCCAATGGTTCCTCCTCCCCCCCTGTGGTGTGGTGTGGTTGTGGGTCGCTTCCCCCTCCCTGTGGTGTGGTGTGGCGTGGTTCGGGAGTGGGTCTGCTTAGGCTGGTTACCCCACTCCCCCCTGTGGTGTGGTGTGGTGTGGTTTCGGTTTCCTGCGTGCGTCTGCTTGGCGTGTGAGCCCTCGTGTGGAAAAAGCGTGCACAGTCACACACAGACTCGGCTTGGGGACCGGGGGGTGGGGGGGGGGTGATACCATCCGGGGGGGGAGGGGGGTCGGTGAACCGAGAACCGGGATCATATATACCCCTGAACCCTACATACTAAAACCCCTAAACCCTAAACCCTGAACCCAGAATCGAATATACATGGCTCGAAAGTAGGCACGAACCAGTAAGTCGGAAATCCCCGCGGCGAAAGGAGGAGAGTTTGGGCTTTCTGCGGTTCGGGTTTAGCGTTGGGGCTCTAGGCGTTTTGGGGTTTATAGGGTAAGTTTTAGGGTTTACCTTATCCCCGAAGAACCTACGATTTTAAGGACTTATATAAAGAAATCATAAGACGGAGCCCTAAAAAGGTAGGTTATCAGGGCTTGGGTAGGGTTGATTAGGGCTGAGGGTAGGGTTGTTAAACCAGCCTGCAGCCTTCGAACCTGAAGGTCCGTGGAGCCAAAACTTGGCATGTCTTAGGACCTATATGAGTGGTTGTCAAAATTACTGGGTACCCTAAATAATAGGTGTCGTATTATAATGGGGACCATAATTTTGATAACCACCCATAATAAAAAAACAATATCTTTAGTTTTCTCTTGGGTTTTATTTGAACAACAAGAAATTAATTCCTAAGGAGACTATGATGAGTCTCTGGTTATTAGTAGGGAAAGGGGGAATGGGTTCCTGTAAGGATTCCTCTTAAAGGGGCTCTTTCAGGGTTCAATCAAAGGGGTCTATAAGGCTACTATAAGGGATCTGCAGTGGTTCTTAGTAAGTAGGGAATGCGGGAATGGATTATGGAGCCTATTACTGGGGATTATACAGGGACTACTATAGGGATCCATTCCCCCATTCCCCAAGAACCGGGAAGATGATGGAACCCCATGCTCCCGGACATGTTCAGGAAATGGGGGTACTCTGTAGACAGGGCCCTCATTCTTAAGGACGAAATGAACCCTAAAAGGGTTTAAGGTTCATATACCATTATAGGGATTCATAGTATATTGGTATAGGGCCCGTACTTTTAAGGGTCATTTGGTCCTGCAAGATGATGAAGAAGCTTCTAGACAGGGCCTACTGTAGGTGGGCCCCCCATTTTCCGCAACGCCTCGCCGCAAACCCTGCACGATGATATATCCAAACCCTAACCGTAAAACCCGACACCCCGAACCCAATGGACACTGCGCATGGGATCCCCGAAGCCTTTAGCCCTAAACCTTGACCCAAAGACTCCAGTATCCTTTAATTAAGGAATATTTCTTAAATTAGGGTAGGATCCCTTGTATGATTTAAGGTATATTCCTTAATTAAGGGATATTGGAGTCTCTGGGGAAAGCCTAACTCCGAAGCCCCACGGCACCTGTGCCAGCTCTTCAGCGCGGGCTTTGGCGCTCTCGAGCTTTGGACGGAGGTCCTCCATGTTTAGGGTTTAGGGTTTAGGGGTTTAGGAGTTTGGAGTTAGGGTTTAGGGTTTAGGGGTTTAGGGTTTAGGGGTTTAGGGGTTTGGGGGTTTAGGGGTTTAGGGCAATGTTTCGTAGACCTTGACCCTGCCTTATCAGTGCGAGCCCGGAACAGATAGGTTATTTGGAGCTAAGGCCCCGAACCCCGAAACCCTAACCCCTACCCGCCCTACCCTATACTGTTAGGATTTACCGTGCAGGCGGCCGCCAAAGTCATAGCTAAGTCGTGGCTTCGGTCCGGTCCTTCCCCCCCAACTAAACGCAGGATTCACAAGTCATAGCTAAGTCCTTGCTTTGGGCCTTCCCCCCATCTACACGAATGCATGCAGTGACAAACTCGTTGTTTTCGGCATGATGAGGCCAGTTTTGCAGCAGTAGTTGTATGGACTTTGCACGGCTCCAGGTGCGGGTAGGATGTTTGGCACGCTCGCTGTATGTACTCCCGCAGCATTTGCTCAATGTTTGCGGAGGCCGCGGCTTGAAGCGGTAGTCGCACGTAATTTTGAACGGCTTCAGGTGCGGGCAGGCTATGTTTGACACACAGGTTGTAAGCCCTAAACCCCATATACTATGATTTACCCCAAACCCGAAACCTTTTTACTATATATACCTTAAACCCCAAACTATCAATCCCAAACCGTAACCCAGGCCCTAAACGAAACCCTAAGGGTCCAAGTACCCTATTATCATACACTCTCCAAAATCCTAACCTACATGACTACGATCCTCAAACCGAGTGCCTAGTTATTGGGTCCTTTGGACCCTTGCGGAAAAGGCCTCCAGATCCCTGGAGAGGCGCTGGCGCGCCGTCAGCCGCGCAGAGCGCAGGCTGGGCAGCGGGGACTTGGACCCTTCAACGCGCGCGGCATCCTGAGGGCTAAGGGCTCTTTAGGGTGTACCTAGAGGCTCTGTCCTAGTAGTAGTAGTAGTAGTAGTAGTAGTAGTAGTAGTAGTAGTAGTAGTAGTAGTAGTAGTAGGGCTTAGGGCTCTTTAGCTTAGTTGCTGAGTTCATAAGCCCCCAGAAGTGCACACTTTTAGTTTATAGTGGGTAATATTATCCCAAAAAGTGGACAGTGTATTCACTCAGCTACTAAGTTACCTAGAGGCTCCGTAGTGGTAGTTCCTTTTTGTGGTGCATATTCAGAAACCTATAAGGTAAAACGAAAAAGAAATAACTATGGAGCCTATGGGTAGGGTCTAGGGTCTATACTAGTCTATACAAAGGGCCCTCTGATAGAGGCCTTGCGGTCCTTATCGGTGGGTATTCACGGCATAAGACCTCGAGGCTTATACCTTACCCCTTTTTAGGAAACCTAGTTTTATGGTTAGGACCTGTTATCTTCAAAAACTAGGCGCCCTAAAAAAGGGTTTCGGGTTTAAGGTGTAGGGTTGAAGGTTAAGGACTCAAGGCTTGAAGGTTTTGGGGTTCGTCGTTTAAGGGTCAAGGGTTTGGGGTTTGGTGCCTTTTTGGGTTTCAGGGTTTTGCTGCAGGTTTTTACAGGGTATGTCAAGACTCACACAGGGAAGATCTCCACAGGTTCAGGGTTGAAGGTTTGGGGTGCAAAGGGTTGTGGTACTCATCATTATTATTATCATTCTTCATATTACTGCTACTATTCAATTAATATATGTATAGACTGGATAGATGTAATAGAATATTCTATAAATAGTTGGAACTACAAAACAAGAAGCCGAAGGGGTTCAAGGTTGAAGGTGTAGGGTTAAAAATTAAAGGCTTAAGGCTTAAAGGTTTTAGGGTTCAGTGCTTCGTAGTTTAAGTTAAGGGCGTGGGGTTTGGGTCTTGGGGTTTGGTGTCTTAGGGTTTTAGCGTTGTGCTTCAGGTTATAAGGTTATATATAGGGTATTTCTCGTCTCACACACTATATACAGCTAGAACTGCTACCACTCCCCAGTTGTGGACGGCTCGAAGGCCTGTGGGTGGCCACGGCGTCTCCACTTCATTGCTCGAGCAGCCCGGCTAAGCACCTCAAACAACTATGTTTTGGTAACCTGAATGTTCTGGAAGATGGTCTTCGCCATGTTCAGCACGAGCTTGGAGTCCACCCCGCTTTTTCTGTCTATCGCACATTTCACTATTTCTCTTTGCCTTTGCCTCTTACCGGTCTCCAACTTGCAACGTTTCTCCCACTCTGACTCCAACCAATTGGGGAGGCTGCCATTCTGCAGCAAGGCCAAGAAGTTGTTCTTCTTGCACCTGTCCATGGTATCGGCATTCTCTTTCTCTCCTTTCACCACCGGCTTCTCCTCCATCTGGATCTCCTCGTCGTCCGTTGGCACCTTTCCCCCCGTACTACGAACCGTCTTAAGGCACATTTGTCGCAAAGGGTTGCTGCAACTACTAGTCGCGTTGCTTCTGCAACTGCGTTGTGACGACCTCGCAACTCAGACTGGTTGTGGGTTTAGGGTCCTGTACATCAAAGCTACGACAGACTCGCTTTCACCCTAGACCCAGACCCTCAACTTCCGCAACCCCAACCCCAAATTCCTAAACCCAAGGTACTGCTGTAATTACTTGCCTGTTGCTTGGGTCTTTCATGTGCGGGAAGAAGAGTTGCGCAAAATGTACTCGACAGGGCAACTTTTTTGCCGAGTTTTGCTTGCAGTCATCCTCAATCCCTATACGACCTACACCCTAAACCCTAAAGCCTCAAACCCCAAAACATAATCCGTAAACCCTAGCCACTATGATCCCTGAATTATAAGGCCTGAACCCTCAATCATAATCCCTAAACTCTATAACCCCTAAACATTAAACCCAACCACACCCATCTGGCCAGTTGCCAAAATTGGGGTCCCTTTTTGGGTACCCTAAATATTACGTGCCACATTATATTAAGGACCTAAAAAGGGACCCTAATTTTGACAACGATAACAGATCCTAACAATACAACGGTAGACAACGATTTCGCGCACCAAAACCCCGACGTCAGTCAGCAAAACCCCGGGTTCGAGCACCACGCTTGCTTCAGTCACCAGAAACCTCTGGCTCAGCCACGACGTCAGCACCACCGAATACACGCAGTGCTTTGGAGGGTAGGGCAGGTTACTATTCCCCTCCACAACCCACCCTCTAACCTACCCTACCCTGCTCTCCAAGCACTTCCCAACTACGATCCCACACCCCAAAAAATCTACCCAACCCCACCCTAAAAAATACCCAATCCCAACCACCGACCCGCTCCCCACCCTGAATCCTCTCTCAGCCCCCAACCCTGCCTGCCCCACCTGCCCTTTAACTTTCTCCACCCAAGCAACCCAACCTACCTTGCAAAGCACTTGTCATGAGCCCGCCATGAGCTCCCCAACCATCTCTAAACCCCCACTACCCTGCGAAACCACCCCACCCCCGAACCCTACCTGTCATGTTTCCACCATACCCCACCCCACCCAACCCTCACCTACCCTACCCTCCAAAGCACTTCCTCATGAGCTTGCCCTGCCCTGCCCGATCCTTCCCTACCGTGCCCGCCCGATCCTTCCCTACCCTACCCTACACGCTATTCCCACAACCACCAACCCAAAAAACACAGGCGAAACTCAGCCCCTTTCTCCACACTGCCCTGCCTCACCTGCCCCGCCCAAGGCCTGCCCTGCCTGTTCGTGGTCTTTAACTTCACCCAGCTATCCCACCCTACCCTACCCTAACCTGCCTACCTTGCAAAACACCTACCCTACCCTCTCCCCTCGCCCTACACCTGTCATGTTTCCACCATCCCCACCACTCCTTCCCTATCCCATGAGCCCCTACCCCCCCTACCCTACCCGATCCTTCCCAACTAGCCTACCCTAACCGATCCTTCCCAACCCGACAAATCCGCCTGCCCGACCCTCCACGCTGCCCCTGCCTCGCTAACCCCCCCACCCTCACCCTGCCCTGCGACCACCCCACCCTACCCGAACCCTACCTGTCATGTTTCCACCATACCTACCCCACCCTACCCTGCCCTACCCTAACCTACCCTACCCTCCAAAGCACTTCCTCATAAGCCCCTGCCCTCTCTTTGGTGCAAGGTGCTGTGTTGGTGCTTGTTACCGGTGCTGGTCGTGCTTGAAGCATGGTGCGTGAAGCTTGGTTGCTTGAAGCGCGGCCGGTTGCAGAAGCAGGGAACTACGACCATGAAACTAGGGGGGTAGGGTATGAGCCTCTATCTAAACTGGACTTTGAAGTAGCCAGGGAGAAAAAAGTATAGGCTTTTATTTCATAATGGTTCCTTTAAGGAACAGATACCCCAAAAAAGTATTCAAGTATGGTACGCCAAGCCCACGTAAGCCCAGCATCGCTTCGCAGAAGCTCCAGTGGGAGGCGTTGGACAGGGAGAGGCTCGAGGCCGCCGGCGCCCGTCTTGGGCTGCTGCGACATCTCCGCCATGCCGGAAACCCTTCATTCTTCGACGGGTTCCTTCCTTTAGGGTTTAATTAGGGTTTAGGGTTTAATTAGGGTTTGGTTTATAGGGTTACGGTTTCAAGGGGGGCTGGGACTTTTAGAGATTCAGAGTTGAGGTTCGGTGCATTCTTCGACGGTTCGTCTTGCAGGAAACTCTTGTTGTCTTCGATGCTTTGAGGGGCCTTAGCCTGTGGGTTTTAGGGAGCCTGTAGGGTTTAGGGTTTAAGAGTTTAGGGTTTAGGGGTTTAGGGTATAGGGTTCAGGGTTTAAGGTTTAGGGTTGAGGGCTTCAGGCTTGTGGGGTTCAGGTGCAGGCTCATTGGCTTAGGCAGGGAGTAGACAGGGTGTAGATTCCACCAAGGTTCGGAGGCTATGGAGGCCTGCCTGAGGCCAGAAGGATTGCAAAGCATCTTCGTTGCTTTCTGTTACTCTCTTCATCTCTCTCTATCCCTCTCTCTTCGTTTCAAATCTATATCTATATATACACATGCATATGCAAAGAAACTAATTAAACACTCATACACGATGGGTATGTTATATAAACATATGTACCTTTGTATATCTGTATATGTATGTATGTATGTGTATATATATAGAGATATAGACTTAGATATATGTATCTCTCTACATATATATATATATATATATATATGCATATGTATACAAACAAACGAATACATGCATGAGTGAACAAGTACATAAAACACAGTTAACCTGCCTACTAGCAGACACAGCTTGAGCAACGAACGACGGGAGCTTCATGAACACCGGCAGATAGCCATCTTCTAATGCGAAGGGTGTACACCTAAAGACCTTAGGGCATTAAGGTTTAGGGCTCAAGGTATTGAGGACGGTCTCCCGGCTCGTAGCTTCGATCGGAAAATTTACGGTCGACATGCATCTTCAGCTGAGGCTTCACCACTCTGACACCCCGAAATCTTGAACCCTCAAGTGGCAAAGATACCGGCCATGAGAAGGAATCCGTCCCTCGGAGCGTCAGAAAGCTCCGGAAGTCACACAGCGCTGTTTAGGGTTTAGGGCTGATAGCGCTGAAAGCCTACGACCACTTTGAACATTAGTTTCTGAGGGGTCGAGTACCCCAGCACAAAACGGGCTGAGCTTTTCAGCTATGAGGATTACGTATATAAACGCCAACAAGCTAACGGTTGCCTACTTAGCTAATTACTAACAGTTTACTTTGAAGCGCTGCTCTGGGGAGATGAATCCTGGACCCAAAAAACCACAACCGTCAATCCATTGAGCTTCAACCCTGGACCCCAATAGAGAAACCTTGAAAAGGTTAAGGACACGCATACCTACAGCCTCCTCCATTCTAGTCCATTCTAGGGCCTTTTTTTCGGAGTTGGGGTTGCACTTATAGGGTTTCAGGTGGCGGATTGAATGAATTTCAGGCTCAAACGTGGTATTTTTGTGGGTCTACAGAATTGCGAGAAGGCTTTGCTCAGAGGTTCTCATGCTGCCTCTGTATCTAGAACCCCCAACTACCCTCTGTTTTGCCCCATATACCCAGTATCACGGACCATGAATCTAATGAAGGGCCCTTCGGGGTGTCATGGTAAGGATGCTTTCTCATACTGTTGATGATATAAATCCTGCATTACCTTAAGGACCCTAAACTATGGGAAATATGGTATATTCCTTATTGTGGGTAATGCAGGAATTTATATCATCAACTAGTTGTAGGATTTAAAGTTTACGGGCTCAGCCCGACGACCAGAAACTGCAGTGGAGGGCAAACCTGCGGCCAGAGAGCTTGACATCTAAGATGGTTTAAAGAAAACCTCAACCCTAAACCAGATTCTGTATAAAAAACAACTCTAAACCCTAAACTAAACACAATGGTTTAAATAATCCTAAACCCTAAACAAGATGGTTTCAAGAATCCTAAACCCTAAACAAGATGCTTTAACTAGTCCTAAACCCTAAACAAGATGGTCTTAATACCCTAAACCCTAAACCCTAATGCTTGAGAGCTAGCAGCTGAAAAAAACCGAAACCGTGCGCCTTTGCCGCCATCTGCAGTAGCTGCGTCTCGGAACTTGGGAGCATCCGCACCACCTGCGCCATGTCTAAGGCTCCATGTACCCATATAGTAGGTACTTAGGCCTTAAAGGGGTCACTATATGAGCGGCGGCCTAAACCTATTGTTCGACCTGCTCATGCCGAGATCTCGGGTCGGCCCCTATCGGTTATGCAGGGATCAACTACAAGATGCCATGCCGAGAACATGGGTCGGCCCCTATCGGTTTTCCTACTAGACCCTAGTTTTTCACCATCTCGGTTGCGCTCTAGTCATGTTAGCTCTTACGGAGGTTTTGTCCGATGCTCATATGGTTACTTTGAGGCCTAAGTACCTACTATATGGGAGCATCCGCACCACCTGCGCCATGTCATTCCCGCCCTAACCCGCAAACCTAAAGCCTTATTTCCTAAAACCTAAAGCCCTAAACCCTAGACTCCAGAAGCTCTAACTCTCAGCCCAGCGCCGCAACCGTAGAGGCCAAAAACGTAATATAGGTGTTGGAGGAACTACTGATGGTATCACCGTTAAATTTACTATAATATCAATATAGAGTATCATAGAACCCAAAGCCAAAGCCCTACTAAAGTTTTGAAGGCCTCTATCTTATGGTTAAGAAAACAGGCCTTGAGTTTGAAATGATTTCTGCTAGGCAGCTCTTGGCTTAGCAGCAGATATTGCCCCGGCAATTCTTGTGCCTTAGGGTTGAGGGTTTAGCATAGTTTAGGTTGTGGCTTTAGGGTCTGGGATTTCGGGTTGAGGCTAGGATACCCAGTAACCTAAGAATAAAAAGGCCTCTCTTTTTGGTATTGGGTAACCTTATAAGGAACCTAGGACTACAAAAAGGAATAAGGGTACTACTGGGCATCCTAGACAAACACATCCAAACATTCGAAGCCTGGTCATCAGAGATCCTGGTGAGTTTTTCGCCTTCCTGTGTCCTCGTAGTCTTAGAAGCCTAGCGAATGATCTTCTGAATCAGTTTCACATGCATCCAACAGAGTTGGTGGCACGCGGTCCTCCTGCTTGCACTTGGACCCATGCTGGAAGGAGGTTTCCGGGCTGTCGGTGTCCGTCGACGTCGGCGCCCTCCACACGCACCGCGCCGAAGTGCACTGCAACCGCTACCATGCACTGCCAGCTACAGCTGCGCGGACGACCCCTAAACCCTAATCCTAAACCCCAATCCCGAAACCCTGTAGTCCCTTAACCCTGATCCCTAAGCCCCAAGCCCTAAACCCTACAACCCTTTAAGGCCCCCAGACCATAGAACCCTGAAAGTGACCGTTGTAGACGCCTCGAAGAAGAAACCTTTGACGAAACCCTAAACCCCAAGCCCTTTATAGAGCCCTTATAGATCAGATCCCTTCAAAGGAGCCCTTATAGATCCCTTTAAGGAACGCAAAAGCCCTCGGGTCTCCTCTATGAGGTTGTCCAAGGCGGCGATCTTCACAAAGATCTCCACTGCCTTCCGATGCTTTCCCGCCGTGAGATACCTGGCAGATGGGTTATTAGGGGTTATAATGTGATTGGGAAAGTAGGATCCTTTGGACGTGTAGCTCTAATACAATTTTGGGGTTACGTGATAAGCGTCTGTTCTTTTAGGGCGCCTCTTTTCCGACTACTAGAGGATTCCTGCCATAGATAGGAGATTCCTCCAATGTACACGCAAAGCACGGCTAAACCCCAAAACCCAACCTCACACCACACCAAAACAAACTAACACCTGAATCCTGGACCCTTACGGCATTGTTCTTTAAAGTAGCCCCTAGTCCTATAGAACCCTGCAAGGAACCCTACCCTAAACCCTAAACCCTATTCCTATAGAACCCTGCACGGAACCCTACCCCAAACCCTATTCCTATAGAATCCTGCAAGGAACCCCGGCCTCACAGCACCCGAAGCCCCTACCCAAAGGCCCCAAAGTAGTTCCTTTTTGGGGCTATAGAATCCTATAAGGTAATCCCCAAAAGGAACTACCTTGGGGCCCTTGGGTACATAAACCCTATAAACTCTAAGCCCTATAGACCCTAGACCCTAGACCCTAAACCCTATACACTAAACCCTAAACCCTATACCCTAAATCCCTAAACCCTTTTAACCCTTTTAACCCTATAGACCCGAAGCCCCTAAACACCCTAAACGCGCGAGAGGCGCATCTCTCCTGCGGCCCTCAACTCGCCATCCTCCTCGGAGGACTCGGCCTGCTTCAGGATCAGACCTCAGTTCGGGGCTTTGGCCCCCAAAGGCTCCATGTACCTTTATAGTAATTAGATAGGATAGGGTTTAGGATTTAGGGTTTAGAGTTTAGGGTTTAGGGTTTAGAGTTTAAGTTTAGGGTTTAGAGTCCATGTACCATTATAGTAGATACTTAGCCCTTAAAGGGGTCCCTATGTAGGTACTTTATAGTAGATACTTAGCCCTTAAAGGGGTCCCTATGTAGGTACTTTATAGTAGATACTTAGCCCTTAAAGGGGTCCCTATGTAGGTACTTCATAGTAGATACTTGGCCCTTAAAGGGGTCCCTATGTAGGTACTTCATAGTAGATACTTGGCCCTTAAAGGGGTCCCTATGTAGGTACTTTATAATAGATACTTAGCCCTTAAAGGGGTCCCTATGTAGGTACTTTATAGTAGATACTTAGCCCTTAAAGGGGTCCCTATGTAGGTACTTTATAGTAGATACTTAGCCCTTAAAGGGGTCCCTATGTAGGTACTTTATAGTAGATACTTAGCCCTTAAAGGGGTCCCTATGTAGGTACTTTATAGTAGATACTTAGCCCTTAAAGGGGTCCCTATGTAGGTACTTTATAGTAGATACTTAGCCCTTAAAGGGGTCCCTATGTAGGTACTTTATAGTAGATACTTAGCCCTTAAAGGGGTCCCTATGTAGGTACTTATAGTAGATACTTAGCCCTTAAAGGGGTCCCTATGTAGGTACTATG